AGTTCAACGGTCTTAGGCAAACCTGCAAAAGGGAACTAAAGAAAAAAATAATAAGAACATAGAGCTAAAACAAAAGGCGTAACACAACCTACTCGGAAAAATCTTACCATGGGAATGGGCCTCCCAACGGTCCTTCGAGAGTTTGAGCCATGAGCGCTCATAGTAGGGCATCTGTGAGACGATGCCTTTGACCTACTCCTCGAGATAAGGAACATCATTTTGGACTTGGGCAACGGCTGCACCACCACAAATACCAATAAGAAAAAGGGGGATGAACTCAGAATCGACATTTGAAGGAAAGTTTTTACTTACGTGATGTATTCCACTTCTCGGGGAATGGCATGAGTTCGACCAGGATCAAATCCGAGGTCGTCACCCGAACAAAATGACCCTGCCATCCTCAGTCCCGGCNCCGAAAAATTCAGGGACTGTATAAGCGGAGCAGATGATCGATGGTGAAGGTGCGCAAATCGATTTTATTTACAAAAAATCGATGGAGGATCACGATCCTCCATAGTAAAGGGTGGATTTGGCCGAAGCATACCTCCTACCTCTTACATAAGTTTATGATTACTGGATCCACTGGGCCCGGCATAAAGGGATAAGTGTAGATACTTAGGTATCCCTCAACATGTGTAGTAATGGCCTCCTCAGAATCAGGGACCACTACATCTTTATCGGCCCAATTACAGTTCTTTCGGACTAAGGGGAGATCGTCTTCGGTGATCGAGCACATAAATCTCGATGCGTCCTCACCACGACCCTGCACTGAGGAGGGTTTCTCGACCTTGAAGTCGTCAACGATCGAACAACCTCCGAGAATGAACATCTTCAAGGGAGGTGCATGAATCGGTTCCTTGATAGCCACGTTAACAACAGGTCTCCCGAGGTCGACCACATTGGAAGTAGTCTCGGCAGTCATTTGGGAAGTAGAAGTAACCTTTTGGGGAACAACTTTTGAGGTTTTGGCCATTATTCCACTAGAAAGCGTAAAGAAGATATAAATGATTGAAAACTGGAGGCTCAGATGTGTTGTCGTGAGTGGATGTTGAGTAAATATTTCAAAGAAATCTCGAATACCGGAGGTAAAAATGCTAGAATGTGAAAGGGAATAGTGAAATCCAGAGGTTACAAGGGTAGACGGTTTAAAGCAAAATGAGAAATAAACGAAAGAGGAGTTATTTATAGTGGTGTCGTGATGCTTCGCCTCCAGGGACAGCCGACCGGCGGCTGACATGCATTTAATGCCATTATGACATGATTGACGAAACGTTTAGGGTTTATGTTTCTTATGTCACGGTGTATCGAAGAAGGGATCGAGATGCTCATGTTGTTTCTCATCAGTTTACTTTTCGAGAAACGAGGGGACTATCTGTATACGGGTAAAAATCGGGCTCATGATACACTCCGACCTCCAACTGGGTAAAATGAGCTCGAGATATGATTGCGAATGATCGAAATCGAAGCAAGGATATCCTCAAGTCAGAATACGGGGGCCGACCATCTACCCTCGATAATATTAGGGTCATGATTCGAGACCGACCTAAAACTTGAAGGACTTCGGAGGGCGTCGCCGGGTAATCAAGAATGGCCAGCAGGAGGCCGTAATATCCGTGACCGACCGGATATTACGGCGTGGATCTCGGCACGTATCGATGTAGAACCGGCAACCAATTAAACAGAAGATTTTTTTACCTTTTATAGAGTTATACTTAGAGTAGAATTCCCCTACTGTATAAAAGGGGGTCTGATAATTTATTAAGCACATTGTAACACGTATTCCAAAGTAATATATAAATATTTTCTCTGTTATTATCTCTTTCTCTTGTTCATCAGTGCTGGTCATAGCGTGCCTGGATCGAGAGTAAATATTTCAATAAGGCTGGAACTATCCTGCTCGTGTGGTTTGAATCTATTTTTTCTTTGTTTGTTCAATTTGACTTAATCCATCGCTTTGTATCAAATTAATCCGTGTATCCTTAAAACCATTTACAAATTTAAATGTTATCGATTTTGAGGGTAAATAATATTAACTAAATGCTTAAAGAGAGTGCAACATGAGTATCTGATCGCCAAGTGAGGGGAGTATTGAGAAGAAAGATGTCACTTAACCATGAGGGCAGTTTGACCTATATATGTAACTGTATATTGGTTAGGGGTATTTGTTTGTTAGCTTATCATTTAAGTCGGTAAGTTTCACCGACTGAATGTAGTTAGCCATACTTGTATATGAAGAGATGTACACTTCATTTCTAAGCAATGAAATCAGATTTCTCTTTTCTTCTCTCATTTATGTAAGTGTCTTTTTCGCGGACTCTCCCAATTAGGGTTTCAATCCTTCTCATTCTCGCTATTTTAGCAGTTTGTATAGATGTATTGAAAATGATAATACGTACTCTTGTGCACTTTCTTTTTTAATATGTTCCAAAAATATACCTGTATATTAAGAAATAATTTGATTTTACATATCTCACTTTATTCTTGGTGAAATGATTTATAACCATACAAACATCCATGACTTATTTTAGATTAAAAGTTTTAATTTTTTCCCCCCTTAAACTATGTGCTCAGTTAAACTGTATTACACAAATGGGATGTAGTGAGTAGCTGATATATAGAAGTTTTTGGGTAAAAATAACTAAAATGCCCTTAAATGTACTTGCAAAATAATGTATTTAAAGTAATTTTATACTAAGCACATTTAATATTTTATCAAATAGGTTAATAAACAAAAGTGCATATTAGTTTAACAAACATATCCAAACTTACTTTCTTAAATTGTGTCTAATTCACACTCTTAGGGCTTGTTTGGTGTGAGGAATAAGAGATAATTAATTCCGAGATTAAATTTGAGTTGAGTTTATCCAATGTTTGATTGGGATAAAATTATGTTATAACTAATCTCGGGATTAGGTATCCCGAAATTGTAGTATTTTTTTATTCCTACGAGAGGGTGGGATAACTAATCACAGGATAAATAATTCCGAGATAATTAATCATGGGATAACTTATTTCCAACCAAACGACCCCTAATGGTATATAATTGCCCGAGTAGTAGACTAACAACTAGTTTGGATGGTTGTTACCCATTGTATTGTATTGTATTATTATCCCAAAATAATATTTGTTTTGATTGTTACATTAAAATTGGTTGTATTGTATTGTTAAATTCATTGTTCCGGAACAATGAAAAATCCAATTTTTTGATACAATCAATTTGGTGTGGTGGGATTATTTTATATTTATCTTTCCAATTATGTCCTTACTTATTACTCCATAATTCTATTTTACCCTTTACCCTTATCTTTTTTAATTTTAACTCCAAATCTCTCACCTATAACCTATTTTGTCTTCGTCCCCCTTTTTTCAGAACTTCCGCTGCTTCCAACTCCAACGTAAAATTGCTTATTTTGTTCCACTAATTTTATTAAAATTTGCATGGATTTAATTGCTTAATCTATTTATAAGACATATTTGGTGATAAATTAGTAAAATGGGATTTTCTTAAATTATTTTATACGTAATTCTTGATAAATTTAATATTTAAACAATTGAGGGTATTTTAGTAAACTTATCAGTTATAGTACAGTACGATACAGTCAAACCATACATCAAAATATTATTTAACAACAACAAATAATACAATCTATTCAAACGGTCTATTTATAAAACGATACAATATAATACAATACCACACAATATAATATCTATCTATACTATATTAAAAGCACGAAAACCCTTAGTGTGTCATTCGCCTTTTTTACCCTTTAAAAATAATTTTTACAATGAACAAAATTGTAATTTAAGTTACCTTCCTATTATTTAAGACTTTAAAATCAATTAAATTTTTGCATATTAAATCTTTCCTTGTTAAACTAGGTAAGAAATCCTAATATTTAGGAATTTAAATCAATAAATATCATTTCTGATGAGAACGTTCTTATATGGTGACTTCAATTGATTTTCAATTAAAAACTTAAAATATGAGGACATAAAATCACATATTAAATTAGAAGTAGTTAATACAGTAACGTCTAAACTAAAATGTTTTAACGCGAAACAATTAAATATGCATTTTAAATTTTTTTATTTTAATCAAATAAAATAATTAATCCATGTTCAATTATGCACTAGTCTATAGTCTATACCCTGTTTGTGTCTTCTGAATGGACTTGAGAATAATTTTTAAGAAAAATATTAGAATAATCGTAAATCTTCAAGGGTTATGCGTTTTTACTGAAACTAACAAAGAAGCACGATAACTCGTGAAATTAAAATGACAAAGTTATAAAATTGGAACATAATTAAAGGTGAATATATTGAATAATGATTGAGGACTTTTCTGAACAATTTTTTTTATTGAGTTAGCTATAGAGGATTAGTAGTTATCAATTTCAAAAGCTTACACTTTATTTTATAACTCAAACATAATTTTAAAAAATATATGTAATTTTCTTATAAAATATTACTTATTGAAATGACTACGCGTACACTAAGGACCCGTTTGGCCATAGATTTTGCCAAATAAACTTGGGTTTTATTTGGCAAACGCATGTTTGGCCATAGATTTTGCCTATATTTTGGCCAAATCCCAAATCTCAAAACTAGCTCAATAGCTGATTTTTGGCCAAAATATCACTATTATATTTTTTAAAAATTACCCCAAACTTTTGTATTTTATAAAAGAACCCACCATTTATTATTGTGTAACGATGTTACTTTATCTTCTCGGTCATCTGACAGTGTATCATGTAGTTCATTATAAAAATGATAATTTTGTATCAAATTTATTTATATTCAGGACTATGGTTTGCGATAATATAATGAATGTTATTGATAATGGTATTATTGAATATTTATGATAGTTTTTAGAACTTGAGAGTATAAGTCATGTTTCATATTTTTCCAAACCAAATTTCACCCAAAACATATTTTCAAAACAAACTTCGTCCGAATCAGATTTTTGAGAATAAATTTAGAAATCAATGACAGAACGCTACCTACGGGTATCATAAAACAACAACCATCCAAGCAAGCTGTAAAATCCAATACTTCAGTCAGTTTTTGGTTTCTCCCTCACACACTCATAAGAGGATATATATTAAGAATTTAAGCACTTTTGAGGAACATGGAGAGGCTGAACAGGGCTTTCGGGGATGACTTCTTGGAGTTCTATAAGAGAGAAACTGGGATTTCTCAGCCCAGAAACTTCGCTCGCCGAATATCTGCTTCTGAGGTCTCAGTTATTTATAGCTTTAATTATTTGTCTTTATGGATTACAATTAGTGAGTTGAGCTCTATTTGCTTGATGAAATGTTTGAGACTATAGAAATTCTCCCCAGTTAAAATTACCCTTTTCTTGCTTGTGATTAGTACCTGTGCTTCTAGGCAGTGGTGTTCGGATTAGTTTGTGCTCGCCTCGACAAATTCACTTGGCAACTAAGGCTTAGACAGATAGGAAGAAGTCGTGTAGTGTGTTTTATTTTTGCTGGAATTTGAATCCTAGTCTCTTATGGTTTTCATCCCACTTCATTGGCCGCTAGACAACATATAGATTGTAGTTACAACAACAACAACAACAACCCAGTATAATCTTATTAGTGAGGTCTGGGGAGGGTAATGTGTACGCAGACCTTACCCCTACCCTAAGATAGAGAGGCTGTTTCCGATAGACCCTCGGTTTCCTCCCTCCAAGAACTCCCCACCTTGCTCTTGGGGTGACTCGAACTCACAACCTATTGGTTGAAAGTGGAGGGTGTTTACCACTAGAGCAACCAACTCTTGTCCAACAGATAGATTGTAGTTACGGAATTTAAATTCAATGTTTTATCCTTTTGTATTGCATTTGTTATTGTTCATTTTGGAGGGTAAAAGTAAAAAATTTGATTAACTTGTTAGGCCTTTGCAAGAACTGGCTTCTGGTGAATTGTTAATGGTCTCCACTGGTTTTTAGGTTTAGGAAAGACCAGACTACCTGACACCTTTGGCTAGTCAGCTTGAGTATTTTATTTTTATTTTTGGATATGGCCAAACTCCAGTTGTAAGGAAATAGCTACCGTACATGTACATGTTTGAGTACAGAGAGGTAATTACCTTGCGAAATAAGTTGAACGATACATTTATATATTTCTGGTTAATACCTACAAGTTTATTGAGTGCCAAGAACCGTAAGCTTTTCAGCCTGCTTGTATTTTGGATTAGAATTTACTACACTAATGGTACAGAAATATTTGTACGATTACTGTAATTTGACCGGCTCCAACAGGATACAACCCTGCTTTTCCAAGTTGCCAACACATGCTCTCAGTATAGGAGCTCACCTGATCTTTTTTTTCTTTTTTTTCAATTTCACCGAACAATACAAAGTCTTTCAATTAATGCCAGTTACTATTTATTGCCCTCCCCGTATCATCTCAGTGATGGTCTTTCAGTTTATCACCAGGTATGCACGGTTGATTTCCTTGTATCCATTTCCTCTTAATAGCAGAGCCTGATGTGAAATATCTGTGGCACATCCAATAAGATGGAACAAACAAATAATTAGATAAACCAAAACTAAGGCCTTCATATTCGCTGATGTTAAGTCTCTCTATTTTTGTGAGAACTTTTCACATTATTATTAGAAGGTAACATAAAGGAGGCATTCATATTCGGTGATGGTTAAGTCTCGGTTGGAACTTAATTTTGTGTAAATTTTTTTTTGACATTTTGATATGAAGATAATCCCATATCAGTCACTCAATCAATCAATCAACGCTAAATCCTAAATTAGTTGGGTCGGCTATATGAACGCTCAATATCCATTCCACTCTATTGTATTCTGTGGAGGCTAATAAATCTTTAGATGTTTGAAATTCTTTTCTCTAGAATTCTCCATTATGCAAAGCTGCTGAAACTATTTTTTTTTCAACTTTGGGGCAGGTTACAGTGAAGCGACTGGATCTGTATGGGAAATTAAATGGTCACGGGGGATGTGTTAACACAATTGACTTCAATGCCACTGGCGATGTTCTTGTCTCAGGTTCCGATGACAGACGAGTAATACTATGGGACTGGGCGACAAGGAAATCAAAACTATCTTACCAATCAGGCCACATGGACAACATATTCCAGGCCAAGTTCATGCCCTTCACTGATGATCGGAGAATAGTAACTGCCGCTGCTGATGGCCAGGTGATGTTTTGCCCATCTTGAGCACATTAGTATGTGAAATCTGAATGAATGCCAAAGTGTATGAGCAAATGTTCGTGTGTAAGTCTGAAATATGCTGTAGTAGATATGTCATCTGCTTACTGGACCATCCTCCTGTCGTGATTTAATCATGATCCCAGTCATTATGAAACACGAAGAATGGTCAAATGATGATAACATTAGTGGCCTATATCGAAAAGGATAAGTCCTGTCAAATTCTTGCAGCAGATCACGCCCTTTAAGCAAATCTAAGCAGTCGATTGGTTGGCCTCATAAGGAAAAATAATTCAAGCGTAAAATTCTGCATAACTAGTAGTATAATATTTGATTTTAAAATAAATCATTGCATTACTAATTTAATCTCTGCATAACTACAGCAATCTCTGTCTGCATAATTGATGCAGTGCTTGGTTTGCAATATTAAACTTTGCATTGCCAATACTCGCATAATATAGGAATCTATGCATTATTTTATGCGGATACAATGTGGATTAACAGAAACAAGACCTGGATAAGAGTATTAAAGACAAGCACCCAAGGTTCAAATTCCAGTAGAGACAGCAAGTATCCGGCGGGAATAGTTAGGGTGCGCGAAGCTAGCCTAGACACCACAGTTAAAAAAGTATCTAATAACAATCCTTGCGTTATAATTACCTATGCAACTATCAGCTACTGTATGGCATCCACTGCTTTGTTTATCCATCTTCTTCTCAATTACGTAAGGAATCTGTGCCTCACACTTCAAGGATTGAGGAGTTCTTTTGCATTGCAATCACCAGATTACATGGAAGCATTGAATGATTGGATAAGTAATTTTCATACCACACATATCCCTTTTATTGTCCTTAGTATCAAGTACCACATGTTTATACATCCAGACATAGTTGCCGACTTGCTGTATAGATAGATAATAGTTTAGACCTGCTGGAGTTGCTTAATTTGTAATTTGAGAAAGCTCAAGAAAGAATTTGTTTTAGAAACCTATGGGCTTATTCTTCAATCTTCTCTGACTTCCACCATCGCAAACACTGGTTTTCTCACTGCAGGTCAGGCTTGATCTATTGCTGGAGAATGGTCAGGTAGAAACTAAAAGGCTAGGTAGGCACCAAGGTCGTGTACATAAGCTTGCCGTGGAACCAGGGAGCCCCTACATATTCTATAGCTGCGGTGAAGATGGTTTTGTTCAACACGTAGGTTGCCACGTTGCTGTTTTACATGTAAAAAGTTCTCTTCTTCAGGTTATTTTGCCGTAACTTGCATTTATTCTGCAGTACGACCTGCGAAGTAATTCTGCCACAAAGATAATCTGTTGCTCATCTTTCACGGAAAACAATAAGCAATCTTCTAGCAGCATATGTTTGAACGCCATTGTGATAGATCCGAGAAACCCAAATTATTTTGCAGTTGGTGGTTCTGATGAATATGCACGTGTATATGACATCAGAATGCATGAAATGGACGCGTTGCATAATTCTGATAGGCCTGTCAACACATTTTGCCCCCCTCACCTGATCAAAACACATGACGTTCACATTACAGCATTGGCTTACTCGAGCTCTAGTGAGTTGCTGGTCTCATACAATGACGAATTGATATATTTGTTTCAGAAGAACATGGGATTGGGTCCGTCTCCCCTGTCTTCGCTAGGTGAAGATGCAAAGAAACTGGAAGAGCCACAAGTTTATTCTGGGCATAGAAATTTGAGAACCATTAAAGGTGTGAGTTTCTTTGGTCCAAATGATGAATATGTCTTGAGTGGATCTGATTGTGGCCATATATTTATCTGGAAGAAAAAGGGCGCTAACCTTGTTAGGTTGATGGTTGGTGATAGGCACATAGTAAATCAGCTTGAGCCCCATCCCTGTATTCCTGTTCTTGCAACATGTGGATTAGAAAAGACCATAAAGATTTGGACCCCGTCGTCGAATAATGTTTCTTCATTGCCTCGTGATGTCCTTAAGGTGCATATCTTAGCAGTTCTCTTAATAATTATTCATGTGTTAGAATCGGAAGTCAGAGTTGGTTCATGTAATCTGGTATTAAATTTTTGTTTTTGCTTTTCTGCACTGTGTCTTGCTATGAGCAGATAATGGAAGCTAACAGGCGAGGTCGAGAGGACCATTCACGGGTTACACTGACCCCAGATGCAATAATGCATGTTTTACGTCTGCATAGGAGGCAAGCGGTGGCTTATGTTGAGAGAAGACACAACAGAGATGATGTTGACAGTGATGAAGATGATGGGGAAGAGGCTTATGTATTAGGATTTCCAGATGGTGATACTGAGGATGGTGTTACAGGAAATTCTGAATGCAGCATTAGCTAGAGTCATATGTATAATATCCGGGAACAAAGATTTTTATCTTCTACTCTTTTCTTCTTATCTTCTACGAGTCCGTATCTACATCAATAGTGGCTCACCATCGTTTGATGCGCCTTAGAGCTATAGTGCATTCACAAGTTCAGCTAACATCTGAGTTTGAGAATTTGCTGGCTGCCTGTTCACAGTATCAATAAATAAGCAGTGTGTCATCTGCACTTGAGCAAAGTTCAAAGTTTAGCATCTATATATTATCTTGTATCTTGATTACGATGGGTGAATGGTTTCATTTGAAACTTCAAAGATTTGCTTATGCTCTAGAATCTGTCCATTAGGTGGGGTATATGCACTATACTTTCATGAGTTCATTATCTGGAGTTAACTTTAAAGCTACTCCATAATCTTGCTTGCTTACCAAGAAGTTTTGCCCTATGTGATTAATACCTAAGGCTACTCTAATAGATAGAGACATGATATTATAGTCGAGGTATAAACAATTGAGTCGATGTTGTTCTTGTCACTAGTTTGACAAAGTTAAAGAAAGGAAACATGCATTTTGTTTGCCTCCTAGTTTGGCTAAGTGGTGTTGAGATTCTTCTTCTTTTTGCAGCTAATCGCCAACATTAATGGAGAGGAGTAATTTGAAGGTGAGTATTAAAAAAATGGCACTTGATATATCTTTGGTAGAATTTCCTGTAATTCTTTTTCTCCTCCCTGTGTGTAAGAGAAACTATGCCTCCCTTGGAAGGTGAAATACTTGAAAAACCACTGGACAATTATCTGTGGTTCCAGGGTTTGCTAAACTTAGTTCCACAAATTGATGAACAATTGCTCAATTCAAGCTTGTCTCTCTACCTTCGATAGGTAGGGGTAAGGTTTGCGTACACACTACCCTCCCTAGACCCCACCTGTGAGAATATACTGGGTTTGTTGTTTCCAGTTGTTATGGGTTTACACCAAGGTTCTGCGCTCAGCCCGTTCTTATTTACCCGGTAATGGACGTGTTAACACACCATATTCAAAGGGAGGTCCCATGGTGTATGTTATTCGCCGATGACATAGTTCTGATTGATGAGTCGCGAACCAATGTTAACGAGAGGTTGGAAGTGTGGAGACAGGCCCTTGAGTCTAAGGGTTTCAAGCTGAGCAGGACGAAGACGGAATACATGGAGTGTAAGTTCAGCACTGAGCCGAGGGAAGTGGGCGTGGAAGTGAGGCTTGAATCACAGGTCATACCAAATAGTGGCAATTTCAAGTACCATGAGTCGGTTATTCAGAGGGGAGGGGAGATCGACGAGGATGTCACACACTGTATTGGGGTAGGGTGGATGAAATGGAGGTTAGCATCTTGAGTTTTGTGTGATAAGAAAGTGTCACCGATACTCAAACGTAAGTTTTATAAAGTGGTTGTTAGATCGACCATGATGTATGGGGTTGAGTGTTGGCATGTTAAGAACTCACATATCCAGAAGATGAAAGTAGTAGAAATGAGGATGTTAAGGTGGATGTGCGAACACACTACTATGGATAAGATCAGGAATGAAGATATTCGGGAGAAGGTGGGCGTGGCTCCCATTGATGACAAGATGCGGGAAGCGAGGCTCAGATGGTTCGGACACGTACAAAGGAGAAGCTCAGATGTTCCTGTAAGGAGGTGTGAGAGGCTGTCTTTGGAGGGCACGAGAAGAGGTAGAGTACGACCTAAGAAGTATTGGGGAGAGGTGATCTGGCAGGACATGGCGAGACTTCAGATTTCCGAGGACATGACTCTTGATAGGAAGGTGTGGAGGTCGAGTATTAGGGTTGTAGGTTAGGAGGTAGTTGAGTCTACCTTACTTCGTACCTTTGTGAGGCTAGTATGGTAGGGTTTTTGCCGATGTCAGCTAGTGGCAATGTTGTGTCTTACTACTCTTTTGTTTTCCATAGTGTCGCGTCTATGTACTCTCTATCACGTTTGCTTTGGATCTACTTTCTCATATACATGATGTTATTTTTCATATGGTTTCTATTGGTGATACTGATATTGTCTTTTTTCGTTTTCTTGAGTCGAGAGTCTTTCGGAAACAGCCTCTCTACTCCCTCGGGGTAAGGGTAAAGTCTGCGTACACACTATCCTCCCCAAACCCCACTAGTGAGATTTCACTGGGTGGTTGTTGTTGTTGTTGTTAACGCTTTTTACTCGCATTGAACAAGGTAAAAGATTTGTCTTTAGCGAAAAGTCATCTAGATCAATGGCTGAAGAACATTGTTAGAAGCACCATCAGAATCTTCCTACTGATGACATTTATCTGCAAGATTGGTCCAATGGAGGGAGCCAACGAGTAAGTTTATTCGACTAACATGCCGCCATAATTCCATCGAACACTATCATTATTAGTACTATATACGGAAGAAATGACAGTCCAATTGCAACTATAATAATACTACACCACATTGTAATGAACAGAGGAGATATTGCTGCTTGAGATAGTAGAAACCTAAGTATCAGGTGCCACATTTATCGTGCCATACTGTCCTGAACTGCATTATAATAGAATTTCAAACTATAGCAAATGCTCTTAGTAATCTTGTGATTCTATTAATAGGAATTTTGTTTCCACCATAGCAGTTGTGTCTAAAATTCATTGTAAAAGACTTTTAGTTTCCTTTGTGTTCTTCTTTCCTTCTTTCATATTGTTTACCCGTAAAACGGTACAGTTAAATTTGTTACGTGGTTTATAAACGAGCGAACTTATTTGATCCAAAAATGATATAAAAATAAGATTAAAAATGCGATATAGTAATTGAAATTGAAAGAGATGACAAGCCTGGCTCCGAGCGCAACTCTTCCGAGGACAAAAATGAAAGCAATGATAAAGAACAAATAAAGTTATTTAATTGAGAGCAAAAGTAAATACAATATATGTTTGCCAAGAATTTTCGTGTCTTACAATGGTTGTTGAGCTTATTATTTATAGCCTTTTCTAGGGAAACAAGATCCTAGGATCAAGCTCCTCTTAAATGATAATAAAGAGCTATTGATGAGCATGTAACGGTAGGTCATGGATGCAAATATTTTTTGTAACAGTTGCTCATTTAATGTTAGAGAATATTCCCTCATTGAATGCTATCCAATGAGAAACCTTTGACCTCCTCTTATCAAATACGCTCCCTTCGGGTTGTACTCAGTATCGATCACATTCGTTGTGTCTGGTATTAGCAGCTACCCAACTTGTCTTTTTCCTGCCTTCGGTTCCACATGTCATGCTATTATTCGACCATCTCTTATAAACCAATTTTACCATGTACAGATAGTTTTTCTACTTTTCGGTAACACGTCTTAGTGTTACCGGAAAGTTGGTGAAGACTTCTTTCTTGGCGGAAAAGTTCCCGAACAGTCTCTAACACTTGAAATGACGTACGTCTACTCGCATTTAATACCCTGAACACGTGTAGCCCCTCGATTTAGCAAATATTTTCACTGGTTCTCGAATTAATCATGACCATGATTTTTGTCGTCTATAACTTCCCTTCTGCTCACTATTTTTACTTCTTTACATCCAAAATTTTCATAAGTCTTTCTTCTTCTTTGCTTTCATCTGCTTAGAAAATCTTCCATCTCCTCCGACTGCCTTAGCAAAAGTTTCACTAACCCTTCATTACTATGGCTTTTTTCATTGCATCCTGTGAAAACTCTGGCCTTCTCCTTGGTGGAGGCCCAAAGAAAAAGAAGGACGATGATATCAATTATGAACCTCCTACTATAAACACTATCATACCAAAATACCTTAACAATGCTAACGACTTCCAAGAGAAGGCTCCTTCTGCGTCTTCACGGACTTGGGCTATTGGTAGGTATCTCTTCTCTATTTGGCCTTCTAATATTGCCATTGTGAAGGAGGACTGCAACTGCCCTAACCTTGACATCCTCGCTCCGGATATGATAGAGCAGGTTACCTTCACAAAGGAGAGTTTTACATATGTCTATATGTATCCCTTTACCTTGGCTCCATTCTCCCTTGGGTCGAATGAAGGGCTCGACCCCGTAATTTTTGAATATTTCCACTAGTACCGGGTCTGCTTAGCAAGTGGGACCATCTATATGGCTAACGGTGGATTGCCTTCGTTAACTATGCACGGAGACCGAGGAAACCCTTACCCTTGCACACATGATGAATCTTTACTATCCCAAAGTTTTTTGTGGGGGAGTAATAAATTTCAGCACACATGGCCACCATTCTCTTCTTACTAGCATGGATGATGACAATGATCACGGGTGGATGGAGCGATTCATCGTCATCACTACCAGGGACATCATCCAGGCCACAACTCCGTCTTTTCTTGAGTCGGGGAACCGCTTTCGTAAGTTTTCGATTCATTCATTCCCTTCATGAAAAATTGTTTTTCGTTGTTGCTGATTCTCCCGTTTCTTTTGTTCCAGCTACCCCATGGGAATCACCACGGGTTCAAGGCCTGGACCGGTGGGTTCAAACAATTCTGGAAATCACAACACCAACACTCTCTTTTACCTTTGTACGAAAATAAATAACTTTATGAAAAAGTTGCTAACTTTTTTTTGCTTGATCCAGAACTTCCGTAGGGCTCTATCACCTGCCCCGAGATCGACGTTTTAGTTGACCCCGAAAAGGCCAGGAGAGTGTTGCAAAGTGCCCTTGCTCGAAGCAGTGCTCACAAATCTACTTTCGGTGAGGGAGCCTCCTCTCGGAGTACCCAGCCCGAGAACAAGCAACTAAAAAGACGATGTTCTTCCTCGGCTCAAACTCAAAATAAGAAAATAAAGAAAGCAACAGCCGAGCCGGCCATAATGGTTGTTGTGGAAGATGGGGAAGCCAGTAATGAAGAGGCTCCCATTCAAAGGATAAAAATATCTTCATTAGCTCAACCGGATGCTCAGCTGGAAGAGTTTCAAAACTCTATCGCAGGAGAGATCCATGCACTTTGGGGCGAGATGGATCTGGTGGAAAATGTTGACTCTCGCTTTCCAGTCTCCATTGATTTCTCTGGTCCAAGGAGTTCGGACCCTAGGCCTCTTCTGCCTTTGGCCACTATGCAAATAATAATCAGCACTGCCCCTACCATAGTTGCTTCTCATCCTTCCACCCTAGCATCTTCACGCCCATCGACGTCAGCTGCTCATTCGCCACCAATATCACCTGCATTTCTTCCACCGGTAACAAATGATCGGGAAATGAGAGCTTCTCATCCTCGATCTCCCAACCACGGGAATTTAGGGCACAATTATTCACCCCTTCCCTGGATCCTCGAGG